TTGATCCATTTCGAGTTTACTTTTGTGTATGGGGTTAGACAGTGATCCAGTTTCATTCTCTTGCATGTAGCTGTGCAGTTTTCCCAACACCAGGTGTTGAAGAGGCTGTCTTGTCCCCATTGTATGTCCATGGCTCCTTTATTGTATATTAATTGACCATATATGTGTGGGTTTCTTATATCTGGGCTCTCTATTCTCTTCCATTGACCTATGGGTCTGTTGTTATTCCAGTACCAAATTGTTCTGCTTACTGTGGCTTTGTCCAGTTGATTTTAACATGCAGCCAAGACTGAGATCCACTCTCCTGGCTAGGCTTAGAGATTGTGTGCTATTCTCCCAGCCCCGAGACAGCTGTGCCTAATGGAAGGCTAGTGAAGCCCCTGTTCACACCGCCAAGAATTTTTAGACTGAAGCAGTATAACAAAGTGATTAGGACTGCAAACTCTAAAGTCAAATTGCCTTGGTTTGACTTCCAGCTCTGCCAGTCATTTAATTCCCATATGCCTCCTTTTTCCCATCTGTAAAATAGTGCGATAGAAGTATCTGCTTCATAGGGCTGCTGTGCAGGTTCAATGCGGTGACCTGTGTAGAGCGCTTAGAACAGCACTGGAAACAGTAGCTCTGGTGTTCCCCTTCCTCAACGCACGTTCCTCCAGGACCTTAGCATTAACATCACTGGAAGTACTGGCCCCATTTATTGTCTGTAAATGGTTATCCAACTGCCTTTAAAGATGTTAATGTCAAGCAAATGCCAAAAACCTATTTAATGCCCTGTCACATATTCAATCAGGGAATTGACAGCAAAGACACTTGGGCTATCATTCTTACTGGGACCTTGGGGAAGGCAGTCCCCTCTCTGAGTTTATCTTATCATCTGTGAAATCAGAGGAACTGACTAGAGTAAGTCACAGATATAAGAGAAGAGGTTGTCCAAGCGCAGTCCATGAGCCATCAGTATCGACATCACAGGGGAACTCATTAGAAATGCAGATTCTCAGGCTCCACGCTAGACCTACTGAATCACCCCCAGGAGTTTTGTTTTCCCAGGCCTTAAGGTGCTGCTGATGCACTGTGAGAACCATTGTACTAGAATTCTAAATAGCATTATTAGTAAAAGCAGTTATTAACATTTTATATCAACCACGATTTATCAAGCATCGGCCGTAAGTATTATGCTAGGGGAACTTGCATATTTACATCATTTGGTTTTCAGAACAACCCTGTAAAGCAAGTATTATTAACCCTGTTATATAGATGAAGAAACTAAGGCCCAGTAATGTTATTAACTTACCTAATAATTGTTTGAGCCCACACTTTTTGCATTATGCCATGCTGCCTCAGAAAAGACAATTTCATTCATTAATTATTATATTTAAATAACAGACCAGTGCAAAGCAATCCCCATAAAGAATTCTGCAATCCTGACACCAGGCCTTACAGGATTGAGCTTGGTTTTCTCTCCCAGTCCTTCTTCTTCTGGTAACTTTGAATGCAGCCAGTAGAATCGGAAATCAGTCTGTCACAGGGAAGAGGAAGAGAAAGATGAAATACTGCTCATCTCAAACTAAAATATGAACAGAACACCCCATTCTAAATAGCCACCTTATCTATGAAGACCTAAGTCCTTCTATGGTTACCTTCATTTCCCCTAAAACACTGCCATTAGGTCAGGAAGACGCTTATAAAAGTCTTTGAAGATTTTTTTCTTAAAATCCAATAGAATTACTAATGGCAGGAGAGCGAACATTCATCACTGAAGGCCTGCTATGTGCCAGGCACCATGCTCAGGACTTTACACACATGATCTTGTAAACCCTCAACCACCCTCTCAGAGTTGTATAACCACTATCTCCATTTTACGAGTGAGGACTCTGAGGCTCAGAGAGATGATATCACTTGCCCATGTGCACACAGAAAATGCTATGGGACCCAGGACTCTCTCACTCCAGAATACTTATGTTGACCTTTGTTTTATTTTAATCCTGAGGATTAGAATCTACTATATAGTCATTTCTTAAGTTCTCATAAATTACTTTATTCTCTGAACTACTGATAGGTATCCTTCTGTAGTTATTTAGAGACTCTTCTTTCTTGTACATTATTTTGCTTTTGGAAATAAAAAAAAAAACAGTAGTCTTTGTATTATAAAAATATAGGTAGATTCAGTTATCAAATTTGTAAATAGTGAATGCATATCATGAAACATCCTTCAATGGAATTAAAAGAAAGTGAGCTGCAGACTGAATCCATGAGTTCTGAGTTTTAGGTTTGGCTTTGCACTTGGGCAAGACACTTAACGTCTGTGGCTTTCAGCTTCCATATCTACAGGCTGAGGAATAATAACGGTACTTACCTTAGAAAATTGTCATAAGGGATTCAATGAGTGCTGAGCAATGCACTTTAAGCATGAGGTGCATGTGAGATTCTCAAGTACCGCCACCTAATGGCTACGGAAAGAAGCAGTCTACGGTACTGACCCGATTCTCACACTTGGGCCCACGTGAGGATTGCCTGGAGGCTTGTTAAACTGTAAGCAGCCTCCACAGGTTCTGATTCAGCATGTCTGAGACTTTGTATTTCTAACAACATTGAGAAGCACTGTGATAGACTAATTGACAGGGAGCACAAAAAAATCACCACTATAAAACTGGGACAATGATAGGGGGGTGCTGGGAACAGAAGTGGGGCCAGGGGCCGAGCTAGCTTCACCCTGGTGACTGCTACGGCCACTTTAAGCGTCACGGATCCGAGCAAAACACCGGGGGAAGGTAAAATTTGGGGAGAATATCGGGGCCTCTCCTCACTTGGAAAATCTTCTAGAGCTAGTCCCTCAGAGCTTCGGGCTCTGCGCCAGGCCGAGGGGCCCTGCTGTCCTCAGCGTCTGGTGTGGCTGGTGAGGGAGTGGAGGCAGCAGGCATCTGTTTGAGAGTGCTTTCCATTCCACCTTCTCTTCCTTGTGCCAACTGTACAAGGTGGCACCCCAATCACCCTCAATCTCCCCTGCCAGCAGTCCTCCCACACTCCAGACCGAGGGCAGGGGATGGCCAGAGCTTCTACCAAGTCCCAGCCCACCCCTTGGCTGTTTCTCTTTCCTCCCCTCAAGAACTGCTGTACTTCCCTTAGTTCCTTCTACTTCTTTGACAAAACAGAGCTAATTAACCACATTCGAAGATCAAGGAACATTAGATAATGTTCTTGGTATACCACATCCTGCACACACCAAAAAGCTGGTCACGTACCAAACCCACCCACTGAGCCACTTTCCCAGGAGGAGAGGAAAAAACAGAGAAGACATGAAGGGAGCAGCGCTGCTTACCTGGCAGTCATAAAAAGGATGTCCTCGCCAGCACATCACATCCAGAACATAGTAGGTCTGGTTCACCTCACTGTAAATGCAGTCCAGAATGGTGTAGTCTGGGGACATAAAGCATAAAGTCGGGACAGGGCTCCCCTTTCAATCAGGGCTCCCTCCACCACAATGCTCGGAGCCCTCTCTAGGGGCTGGGGCACCGGGTTCCCCAGTCCTCAGGACATGCAGTGAGCACCGGCACTAGGGAAGAGGGATTCTGCAGGGACAGAGTTCTTCACAGCCCTTTCTGGCTACATGGTGCAGCTGAGGGTGACCTGAGGTAGGACCGCATGAGAGATCAAGGCAACCCTTAAGCCAGGTGGAAAATCCAACCTTTCAGACAAACTGAGATGTCATTTAACCTCCATGATCTTAGTCTCCTCAAGCTGGGCCCAGGTAGGAAGGAGAAGCCACGGTCAGGACGACGGTAAGGGTGAAAGGGGACTTGGCAGGGAAGCTCTAGCAACAGCTGCTGTGCGTTACACTCGGCGTCCTGAGGGGCCTTTCCTCCCAAACTGCAGCTGCACCTTGTACTGGAGTCTGGGGCAAGGAGTGTCGGCTTTAGTCCGGGACTTACTGCCCAGCAGGCCTCATGGGGCTGCACCTCCTCCGTAACTGAGGAGGCCTGACCTTGGAGGAGACTACCTGAGTCCAGGGGGCAGAGGGTGTCTACAGTTTCAAAGGTATGCTTTCGAAGTGGGTCTTGAAAACAACTAACGAGGCAACTTACACTGTCTTTTACTGATTATAAAACATAATGAATAAGACCATTTTATGTAGGTACCTTTTGCTGTGACTGAGTTTTGCCTGTTACCTCCTGGCAGAAGGGAAGAAAACCTGTTGGCGCAGTAACCACTCTTGGTGTAGGCACTGGTAGAACCCTATGTGGACAGAAAGTGATCGTTCTCATCAGGCATCAAGGTCCCCTCAATCTCTTGCTTCCACATTCTGCAGCGGTGTCATCAGCCCAAAGATGGCTCTCAACAGATCCCCGGTGCAGGAAAGCGTTTCAATCGCCATGGCAGATAAGGAACATGGAGCGCAAACCACCTCTCCTGCTAGGGACCAGACATGCAGGTGTACGGAGCAGGCGCAGCCACTCACCCTGGAGGCGACGACAAGGGCTCTTTTTCCAACAGGGCACACGACTACAATCCATTCCTGCCCCAAATCTGAAGGCACATCAATTAACCACTCAGAGAGCATCAACTGGGAACACAAAGAATGGTGTTAAGAATCAGCAGGGGTGCGCTGCTCCGATGGGGGGGGGAATCCACCCCACTCGCTCTTGCAGTCAACTTGTCTCCTGCTCAATGCATAGGATGCAGGCCACTCGCTGTGAACTTTAACTTCAGCCTCACCTTCACTACCTGCAGCCACGTGCATTCTCACTACCTCACTTCCTGTACCCCAGTGATGGGACCCTCTTCTTTTCCTTACTTTGTCCATCCACCCACCATTATCATAACTATTATGTTCCAGGGGCTACTGCTCAGAGACAAATAAGGTCCCTGAACTTGAGATGCTCTTAAATTAGATTGTCCCCCAAACTGAAGACCCCAACACTACACTAAAGGCTGTATAAGAACTCTGCCTCAAAAAAGCGGAGGGACCTTGTGGTGAAATGAATTTGAAAATATGAACTATTTCACTCTTCACTCACAGCCCCTCCCATCTACACAAAGACTGCCCTGTCAATCAGCCACCCCCACTGAATCTTCCACCTTTTCTTCCCCTTAGCACACAAATCACTCAACCCATAATCTTCAAAAACAAAAAATGAAAACCTTTTATCATTCTGCATTTCTGTTACGCTACTCCACTTTCTCCTTTTTTTAAAAACCTCTTCATATTGCTCGATGCTGCCTGGCTGCCCACCTTCAGTCCACATTTGCTGCACATGACGCTGCTAAAGGCCGCCGGTGACCTCCTCGTTGTCGAGTCTCTCTCTTACCTCACCTTCCCCTGGCCCACCCCTCCGCCCGTGAGGCCGCCAGCCACCGCCTCCTTGACGCGTGTCCCCTCGGCCCCGTGACACAGTGCTATTCTGCTTTTTCCTCCAGACATTCCACTATATACTCTTTTGAAACATGTAGATGATCTTCAGGGGACTCGCAGGTCCCCCTTTTCTCTCTTAGATGCTCCTTGGGGCAGGATCTCATCTAGTTCTGTGGTTCCACTTATCACTTCTAACACGCTGCCTCCCAACTTTCCTCCTTTTTCATCTCCAGGTTTTTTCCTTTCCTTCAGACCTCTATTCCTGTCTGTCCCCTTGCTGTCTCTTTCCCTGCTTGTCCTCTCTATACCTTAAACTCATCATATCCAAAATGGAACTTGCTGCCTTAATTGCCCAGTACTTCCCATCCCTGCAACACCCACAGCACTCCCTTCTGCGCCCCGCAGCCCTGTTCACGGTGCACCTCTCTCTGGAACTGAATCTGAAACCTGAGGCACGATCAACGCTTCCTTTAAGAATAGTAGCAATACAATACCGAAAGCACAAGTGGCAAAACAAAA